ATCTTTCGCTTGCGCAGGATCCTCAGCGCCATCTTCAGGAAGTGAAGTCAGATTAGAAGAATCCATCGCACTCTTTCAAAATTCCTGCACTATTTTCGTGTCAATCACCAAATGAATGTTGCACAGTGCACTCCAGCCACTTTCATACTTATAAAACTTGAAAAGTTTGCGTTGATATCTTTTTTTAGAGAAAGTTAATATTTAGTCCTTATACTTCACAATAATTTTAAATTTAATCCCTATAGTTTATTTTTATTTCAAAATCATCCTCATAGTTTTGAAATGCCTTTTAGTTTTTCTTTTAAGAGTAATTAATTAAAAAGAAGAAATTACAATACATAAGGTTTAACAAATGTTAAGGGGTGATGGGAATTAAAGAAAAGATTATTGTACATAATACTAAAGGCTATAGAAGATAAATGACTATTTTATAAACATAATTCATCAGAGCATGTTGAAAGTGACATTTTGAAACACTTTTTAGTTAAATTTTTATAATTATAAAATGTTTTTCTTTTGAATCCTTATCTTGATGAGAAGGCTTAATGTAATTGAAAATCCTCCAACATGACAAGCCTAGGTTGTTTAGGTAGGAGCTATCCTCCTGATAAGCCCATCAAGCATCAATCAAAAAAGAAATAAAATTTAAAATTCTTTATTTTTGGGAGCAAATAATCTGGCATATGAAAGCTAACAAGTCCAACTAATTTAAATTCAAGTCAATTCCTAAATAAGAATAGCTTTGCCAAGCACACAATCTCTATTATCATCACTTTAAAGATTAAATCTAAGAGTTAATATGGTTAAGAAATTCAGACTCTATCTATTTTGAGTCATCATGCGTTAGTTCGAACTTCTCTTTGTAAATAAGAATAGAAGTTAAATCACGAGACAACATTTGTTTGACTTTTTTTGAAGTTCGTGACTAACATAGTTGAAATCATTCAATACATAAGCCTTCGTACTTGATTCCACCATTCATAAAAGTGTAATTCCTTTGTTTGTTTGTTTTTTAACAACTTGTTGTTGGAAAGGACTGATGGCCTCTTCCTCCCCAATTTCACTTCGACGTTCGAAGCCCTTTCTCTTCTTTTTAGGTAATTAGGAAAACCCAATGAAGCAACATCGTAGCTAAGATCAGGAGTTAGGAGTGTGAGGTAATTTAATTTAAAAATTAATATTTTTTTAAAAAATAATAATTTAAATAATTAAAAAATAATTGCATTGTCACTAAAATTGTAATAAAATATAAGTAGATCGATCATCAGTTTTCTTTTTTAGAAAAATTATATTGAACATGTGATGATCTTTTGTATAAATATATTCTTTATATTTTATTTTAATTATTAAAATATTATATATTTAATAAATTTTTTAGCCTACATATTTTTTGTTTAATTTAGAATGTGTAGATATTAAGAGTAGGAAGTGTAAAGTTATAAAATTTATATACCTTATAATATTTTTTAAAGTGAACAGGTGCATTTACGAGTATGAATCATTTGAAGCTAGCATTGTGAACGACAAGAAACTATGAATAGTTTTTGCAAGGAGTATAAATTATATGCTTATATAATACATAGTGATCAAAGCTAATGAAAGAAGCATGCAAAAAACTTGCAAATATAGGATCCAAGGACATATCCACATGTACCATAGAGCAGGCAATTGCCCCCACTATCCCAAAAAAAAAAATAAAGTAAGGTGATCCAAATAATTTTAATTGTCCCCTTCAAAAATTTCAATTGCCCCCAGCATTTCACTTGTTCTCTTACAAAATTTCATTTATCCCATTAAAAATTTTATCTATATACTATAACTTCAAATAACAATAGTTTTAGAATGAAAGAGTAATAATGAGTATAAAAAAATTCTCTATTATATAAAAGAGTTATGTAGATTTTATTTAATGAACATTACAAAATATTCTAATAGATAGAAAAAGTTATTTATATAAAGAGAGTCTTTTATCTTATTATAATTGTATGTTTTATACATTGTTTTTTAGTATTTAATTCTACTAAATTATTCCCTCAATATAATTTAATAGATATTTCAAATTATTTTTTAAAATATTGATATTTATTTTAAGTATAAATTGTACTTCCATTAATTTATTTTTCTAGGTTTGTTACTGATAAAGAACTTGTTTGGAAAAACATTGAGAGGTTGAAACCATAGTTTGAAAACTCAAACTACGTTTTGCTAGGTGGTTACCAAATAACACAATTTTTAAAATCAAAATTAAAAACTTTAAAACTATTTTTTTTTTTTGGTTGAAATCACGCTTAATTCCAGAGCCATGGCTAGGAAAGAAACAATATGGACCTGTTACTAAAAAAAAAAAGAAAAAGAAAAAGGAACAATATGGATCTGCTCATTGCCAACCTTGATTTTGTTTGAAGCCAAGTTTGCAGGGTTAATTAATTCTACCCAAACAGGCTCTAAATACCTTGTTAGAGGATTCACCTTCTCTCATGTTTGACAGGAGGCGTAGGATGAGGCCAATATTTCAGGAAAATTAAAAGAGAGAATGAGAAGGGGCGATGCTTTTGTTAAAAGGTGATTTTTTGATGGATTTTTTTTTTTGTTACAAGAAAATTTATTTGGTGGCGGTGAAGAAAACATATTTTTTTTTTTAACTGGAAGCTTGGTGCGAAGCAATTTTTTTTTAAAAAAAAAACAGAGAGAGAGAAGGAAAGAAACGAGTCAAATTGGTCTTATGACAAAAATACCCTAATTAAAATGCATAAATTTCGTTTTCAAAATCATGAAAAATAAAAGGATAATATTTTCAAGAAAAATGATATTTAAATATTTATAATTCAATAATTCAAGATAAAATTGGCAATACACGTTTTGACATATGGTGGATGGAAAGCATTCCTTTTACTACTAACGGGCCTGAGTGAATCAATATTTGAATTATTGCTGGAAGACGCACCGATTTTTAATATCTGATAGTATTTTAAATATAATTGTTTTTAATATAAGGATATATATATATATATATATATATAGATAAAAAAATGCATTTCTTTAAGGGAGAATGACAACTAAGTCCTAATGGGACTAATTTATTCAATCTTAGTCTCAAGTAATTTTAAAATACCAAGTAAGCCTTTACTCTTTGAGTGACATTATTTTAATAAATACATGGATATACAACTTTACATCCCAATTTTACATTTTTGTATGGTGAATTTGCAATTCATTTTTTAATTTTAACAAGGAATGCAATTTGCTAATTCAGCTCTCAATTTTGTAACTTTAAGCTAATAAATTTACAACTTGCTTTGCAAATTTCAAGAAGAAACACGTACATTAATATTCAAAGTTGAAAATCAACAAAGTCATTGTTCTAATAGCTTCAAAGTCTAGAGATTTGCAATTTTAATTTCTAATATTGCGACTTTTGAATTGATAAATTTGTAATTTATTTTTTGAATTTTTAGAAGGCACATAAATGTTAATGTTTAAAGTTTAAAGGTAACAAAGTAATTATTCTACTATTTTTAGAGATTTGCAAGTTTAGTTTTTATTTTTTGTAACTTTAAACTGATAAATTTATAATTTATTTTTTAAATTTTAATTATATATTTAGCTTAAAGACATTTAAGTCAATTGCTTCTGTCAAAAAAAAAAAAAAAGAGAGCATAAAACTTTATTGATATTCTGAAATTGAGTGAGAGTTACGTTAAATTAATTTGTTTCTTGAGACTTAGTTGTCATGTCATTCTGCTTTCCTTTGACTGGTCAATAAACTCGAAACAGTTTTTTTTTTTTAATCCTCTCTCGTTAACTTTTTTTTTTTTTTTTCAATCCTCTCTCGTTAACTTGTTCGGCTTTCATGGCTTATTTGGTCCACTTCGGGCTATGCATGTCCTCCATTCGATTATTTTGGTTTCATGTATCCGTCGGATCGAATTGATGATTGCATTGTAGCATTGCACGCTCATTTGCTATTTTAGTTTTTTTGAAAAATCAAATGTCATTGAGAAATGTAGACATATATGAGTCTAAAAATACCTTAATAAACTGGGCATTGTGAATAAGGGAAAGCAATTGATGATGACACAATTTTTTTTAATCCAACTATCTAATACTTGTTCCTATTAAATTAGATTCAGGCACAATCTAATCTAATTGAGGATGGTTCATACGTCAAAAGTTGAAAGCATTGATTTAATAACCAAACAGCATTGTCAACTAAACACGCTAACAACTTGATTTGGAACAAAAAATTTTATTCATGATTGAGGTGGGTTAGATCAGAAAATTCAAAAAATAAACTCTAAAAGCTAACTTTATTTTTAAACCCTTCACAAACATATATAATATTTTTTGTAACCATTTTCTTAATAAAACGTTGATAGTTACACGTACAAATGCATATACTTATTAAGCATATTTATAAAATTTAATTAAAATTCATCTATATTAAGCAAGTTATAAAATTATAATTTATGATGTTATTGATTTATGGTTATGTTATATTATTTTATTAACAACTAGATATACTATATATATACTACATGCATTTAATATGATTTTTTATTTACCGGTTTGACTGCCAATCAAACAATTAGACCATAAAAATTGAGACCTGTTTACCTTCCAGTTAAGGTGGGTCCTGCTTCTAAAAAATACATATTAGATTTAGAGTTAATGAACTTTTTGACAACTCTTATTCATTTAGAAGAATTATGTATTTGTAGATACTGCAATGTCTACCTTTCCAACTTTCCCGGTAAGGAATTTTACCCAAAACAAAACTTTCCCAGCTAGGGAATGAAAAGCACGTGGGTTCTGATTTAAATCTCCAGTGTAAAACAAAATTAATCGGTATATACACCATGTGATGCCACTGACAAAAAATGACTTCAGTGAGCTGTTTAAAATTTAATTTGAACCATAGACATTTGAAGTGACAAGATAATATATGATTGAATATATCAACAAAATTTACCACACCAATGACAAAAGTGCAACAAAGAGACTAAGTTAAACAGCTGCATATATCATAATATTATTATGCTAAGACATGTTCTCATGTATTCATCATGAGCATCAGCATGATTCTTTTCAGTTACTTACATAAGCCCAGATTTGAACTCAAAACCATGCTTAAGAGGTATCAAATCCCTTCTACCTAACCCAACCGATGATTATTCTTCCAATATTTTTTTACACATTCATCAAAAATCTAGTATTGCTACGTCAGATTTGAGCATTATCAAATATAATTGTAAGCAACTCTTCCAATGTGATTTTCCCCCATTTGTAAGGTTCAAATCCTTCACATTGCTTTAGGAGAATCAGTTCTCTTCTATTCCCCCAACTATCATTGGTCCTCACAATAATCTTTTTCTTTTTTTAAGTTAAATTACAGTATCAGCTTTTAAAGTTAAGACAAGAATGCATTTAGTTTAAGGGTCAGGCTTATTGATATTAGGCAAATTAACTTGTAAGGAAGATAATCCAGTGGTACCAGGGTCCCTAAGCTGATCAAGCTGTTTCTTGCCACGGCGAAGCAAATATTCAATGTAGAGAAAATTTTTGCGATCTACCTGCTTGCAATTGCGTCTGAATTCTTCTGATACCACTGATTCTATCTTGCGTCTTTCTTCTTCAGGCTTGGAACGGGCTGCTCGTAGAAACCCTCTGTACAGACTAAGTACTTGCTTCTGCATTCCAGAAAGCTTTGGACCTCTTGAGGCTCCCATTGCACCTAGCTAATTCTAGCAAGGGATATAATGCAGCTTTTCACAGTACGTCTGGGAAAATAAGAAAAACATACTCAAACTTAGTAAAAAATTATATCACAAAGCTGAGAAGCCACGACACGGATACATGCATTAAGTACATCACACTACAATGTGGGCAAAGGCGGGATGGACATCAAACTGCACATGATTGAACCTGAACTCTTACAATACCCATAAAAATTCCATTACATAAGGTGTGAGTGTTTTGCCCAACCCTAGAAACAAGAAACAGTCTAGGAATTAACTTGTACTCATATACTAACTTATGTTATAATAGCCACCAATGAAGGGAATGGAATTTTTGGGTACATCACATTTGGATGTTGAAATCACCAGAGGACACTGCCAACACATGTTTGACACACAGACATGTCAAAAATATAATTTTTAATAACACAGACAAACACCAAACGCAGCGGCTTGGACTCAGTAAACATGGCCAAGATAAAAAAGACTCCAAGGAAGAGAGAACAACCAAAATAATCAAGCACAATGAAATATCAAAAACTTCACTTGAAGTTCTTTCCTAATTCTTTTTCTATTATTGTGCATGAATAATTTTAATTCCATAGATTTGCACCCTCTAGCATAATAAAAAGTTCTATAAAGTAATACCATAAGATGAAAAGAATACAAGATAATGCCATTTTTACATGTTGTGTCAAGTTGTTTTATTATTATTATTATTATTATTATTATTATTATTATTATTATTATTATTATTATTTTTTGGATTTTCACATGTCAATGTCACCCTGTCCTGAGCCAATATCAGAGTTTCATAGCTAACAACATGGAAAAGACTCATGATCAGATGTCTAAGATAATCAGCTTTCGTCATGATATAATAAATCATATTCAAGCTCCTAGAATCAAGACATAAATACACATTGATGAAGGAACTCGAAGAGCAAACTAATAAACAAATACTGATCTTTTTCAATAAAAATAAGCTCCTAAAAAAATAAATCGTATATTTTGTCCTTCAAGAACCAAGCAAATAACAATTTCCTAAGCTTGAACTGACAAAGCAAAAGGCCTTGGAACCATTCTGCCAAACCCAGTCTAAAACAACAGGCAATGCAAACCAAAGAGAAACTACAGCAATCCAGGACGCAAAAACATAAATGTGGAGTAAATGCATGGACAACATGCTCATGCAACAAAAGGAAATGAAGCCAAATTAATCTCCAGCATGCTTTGATCAAACCAAGATGAGAACAAGAAACAATGGAAGCCGACATTTTTCTTCAAGCCAATACATGTCTTCAAATAACCAAACCAAAACAGACAAAGAAGAAGGAGAACAACCAAGACAACAATAAGATAAGAAACCAATTTCTTCTTCACCCTTCAACAGCATCAACCCCAAACCGAACAAGGAAAAGAAAGTACAGGCTTGTGATATTAATGCACAATCTCAAAATAGACGACATGGAATAGTGTCAAACAATTTCAAGCTCGAAATTACATACAAAAAGATAAACAAATTCGCAGATAGAGGGTAATAACCACCTCTCATATACCAACCAAGGACCCTTTTAACAGTCCAAACTCCAACAACATCCTCAAAAGAAAAAAAAAGAGTGTACACCTCCTGCTTATGGTCTCTTCTCAAACATATAATAGACATTCCCTCCCTCTCCGCAATTTCTCAAATATTTCAGCTTTTGAAGCTCAAAAGCAAAATTCAAAATCTTATGCAATTCTACAATAATTATCTCAAGCTGCAGAGACTTAGGAAGGATTGTCAATTGTAATCATGCATGAATCAAATAGATTATGTTTACTAGCAGGAAAACAGCAAAATAGTGATAACGAGATTGAAACAGCGTTCTCCCTCTAAATCACGTCCAAGCAACCCACCCCTTGCTTTTGCGTTAAAGATGTCCGTTGAAAGCATTAATGGTAAAATAAAATTAAAAAAATTCAACCACCAGCAATGCCCTCAATCCTTTTCCATGTCTTCTTCTCATTTCGATCTTGTTTGAAGCAGCAATTACAGTTCTAAAAATGAGAATTAAAGAAAGTAACAATTCCATTTCCCAAAAAAAAAATCATTACATCCAGAATTAACATTCAGAAACAACAAATCCAGGAAAGAAAAATAGCCACGACACAGAGCCAGAAGAATTAGAGGGATACTAACCAGCAATGTTCACGGCTACACATTAACACCATCTCATCCTTCGCAACAACAGATCAACCGCCACCGCCATAGAGTAACGTGGAGATATGTGGGGATGGAGATCTATCTGAGAGATTAGCCCATGGAGGACTGCCGTCGAACTCGTTTTGACAAGAGAGAAGTCGACCGGGCAGGATTTACGATCATAAATTGCGTCCAGTAACATTTCGTTTGTTGTTTAAATACTAAGCCCCAAAATACATATATATATATATATATATAATTTTTTTAATTATTAATATTAATATTAATATTAATAATATTTACTAACATCTAATTTTACCATACTTAAGATATTATTTTTTATATTAAATTTATATGATAAAAAAGATAGAGCATCCAAAAATATTTTCACTAATAATATGTGTAAATTAACAAATGAATGAGAAATATAATGAGAGTTTGTGAGAACATGATATTTAGATAGAGGAATATATTTTTTAAAATTTATTACGGATGAGTTGATGAAATTTTAAAATTTGTATTTAAAAAGAAAAAATTAATTAGTTATTAGTTGTTGAATTAATTAGTAAATCAAACTTTGCTATTCTCAAAAGTGTTTTAATTTTTATCATTTCTGTAACTAATTTTATAATTAAGATTTTAAATATACTTTCCCTTTTTCTTCCCAAAATAAAATTTTGTTTGAATCCTCTTAAAATTTTAAATATATGTATATTTAAAAATATAACCATTCTTAGATGTTGATTATAAAAATAAATGGTATAGAATTTAAAATTTAATTTTAATAAGAACTTTTATAACATATCAAATTCAGATTTTTTTTTGGGAGAATATGATATTTAGATGGAAAAATATATCTTTTTCTATTTATTAAGGGTTAGTTGAATTTTATAAGTTATTGAATTAAAAATTTTAGAAATGAATAAATCTTGGTGAACAATAATTATATTTAATGGAGCATCTAATTAATTATTTATAAAGTAAGCATAAATCCTTGGCAAAAAAGCATAGATCTATGAAAATATATAATTTTATAATTGTGGATATAAGTAAAGAAATACTCCCTTCATTAAAAAATATAAATTATTTTTTAAAAAATTAAATATTAAAAAATATAAGACATTTTTAATCTTTTAAAGTGTAATTATTTTCTTTTTTTTAAAAAAATGTACCTATTGATAATGACTTTATATTTATAATAAGGTATTTAATAAAAATAAATATGAAAAATAAAGTTAGTTGAAAGTAAGTACTTTATTAGGGGGTGAGATTTAATAAAAAATACCTTATATTTTTAAATATAGAGAGTATCATATTCATATAATTAATTTTTAATTATAATTTGTCATTATTATTAGGAATAAAAAATTTATTTAAAAATATATATTTATAATAGGTATGAGAGGAAGTGAATCAGACTTCATCATTCTCAAAGAGTTTTAATTTTTATCTTTTCTCCCATATTTTTAATATCCTATCAAAAAAATATCTTATATTTTTAAATAAATAAAGCAAGTAATATTATTTAATAATTTATTTTTTATTTAAGACAAATTGATATAACTTACTTCATTTGATCTTATTTATAAAGTAAAAAATAATATTTTATTCTATTTATAAATTATATTATATCATTAAATTTTTATTATAAATTTTTTGTTTTATCCTTCATTAAATGTTAATGAAAAAAAATAAATTATTAAATTATGTATATTTAATATGAAAAAAATAAAACCACTCGAGGATGTGGTAGACTAAGAAACTTATCATTGTGGACAAATAAAAATATATGAGAAATGCTAAACCAAATATTTTTAAATATTAAAAAAATATCATTCTCTTACCAAAAAGGGAAAAAAGAAGAAGAAGCAAACTTGTCATTCAACCAAGAGGAGGTGCCTATCAAAAAATTCAAGAAGGGCAACTACCAAAGCGTTAGTAAAAAATGTGATAATGATTAATTTAATTGACCAGTTTTATTTTATTTAAAAATGTGATAATAAATTTAATTGACCAGTTTGATTTTATTTAAATTAAATTTCATCCACTAAAAATTAAGAATATAAAATATACTTGTAAAATTTGAAAAAATAGATAGATAGCTAGATAAATAAATATCCAACTTAAATTTAACAATAATGAGAACTGAAATCTTATAAAATATATTTTGAGAATAAAAAATAAAAAAAAATAATTTTTACATTCTTGTCTATTCTTTAAAGACAATAATCTTAAAACATCCGAAGAATATTTTATTTTTTCTATTTTTTAAAATAATATCTAATTTTTTCTTTCGAAATATTTTTTTGAAATCACAATAGTAAACAATTTTTTTTTTCTTATAGAGGATGGAAAATGATCCATAGAATAACAAGCTCAATCTTTTTTCTATTTTCCCCCGTTGAGAGAGAGAATCCTCGTGGCCGAAGAGAAGATCGCAGTCGAGGAACAGAGAGATAGCGGGCACAGCGAGAGATACAGAGAGGTCGGAGATTGCGCAGAAAAGATCGCAACGAGGCTGAGAAACCGAAGCACAACGACAAAGGCGAAGATTTCTGGTTCTCCAATTTACTCATGAGGACTAGAAACCCAGGCATCTATCTCTCACGTATATTGTGAAGTTAATTGAGTGGCAGACTTCTTTGCTCGGAAAGCTTTTGACCAATGGCATCGCCTTCAGTGCTTCAGGGACTCAACTGGGATTCGTACTCTCCTTGACCGAGACTATGTTTGCTCCAGCAGCTAGTTAGCTGCTCCTTTCTTTACCCCCCCCCCCCAAAACAAAAAAAGTCTTCCCAAAAGGCCAAAAAAAAGAAAAGAAATCTACATTACAGTAGGAACGATGAAGCTTGTAGGTCAATGAAGTCACATTCCATATTAATAGATCCTACCCAATTAGCGAATGAGAAATTGTCACTTTATGTGGAATGTGTACTTCGCTGTTAAGCTGGCTCGAGCAACTGCACCGCATTGATGCTGCGTTCGATCAAGCTTGGGTGTCATGTCTTCCCCAGAAATTGTCACTTTCTTTATCTTTCTACTTCAATTTTACAACCCGAAGCCAAAAATATTTATGAGCAAATACATTCTCTTTCCATACAGGGTAGCCTTCATGAAGCGCTCTCACATTTTTACACCTATAACATACCCATTGGCTCGTCTTTATCTCGTCAAACCTATGCCACTTTGTTCCATGCTTGTGCTCGCCATAAGTACCTCCATGGAGGCACGGCTCTGCACCATTACTTACTTGAGAAAGACCCCTCTATCAAATCTGACCTTTTTGTGACTAATCATATTATAAATATGTACTGCAAGTGTGGCCAGATGGCTGATGCCCACTACCTGTTTGATCAAATGCCCCATAGAAATGCTGTCTCTTGGACTGCCCTTATTTCGGGATACGCTCAATCTGGCCGTGTGAGAGAATGTTTCACTCTCTTCACCTGCTTGATGGAGCACTGCCGCCCTAATGAATTTGCTTTTGCAAGTTTGCTTAGTGCTTGTGAGGAGCTTGACGTCAACTGTGGCAGGCAGGTACATGCAGTTGCATTGAAAATTTGTTTGGATGCCAATGTATTTGTTGCGAATTCTCTTATTACCATGTATTGCAAGTGTTCTGGATACAGTGGAGCTTTTGATGATAGAACAGATGAGGGCTGGGCCATTTTTAAATCAATGGAGTTCCGAAATCTTATTTCTTGGAATTCAATGATTGCAGGATTTCAATCTCGTGGACTTGGGGACCGGGCCATTCGCTTGTTTACACAAATGTATCGACATGGTATTGGGTTTGATCGTGCCACTCTACTTAGTGTGCTCTCTTCCCTGTCTGAATGCAGTAATACTGATGATACTGACAGACATCTCTGGAGCTGTTTCCAATTACATTGTCTCGCTATAAAAAGTGGGCTTATTTCAGAAGTTGAAGTGAGAACTACATTGCTCAAATATTATGCTAATCTTGGAGGGTCCAATTCTGACTGTTATAGGCTCTTCTCTGAAACAAGTTCTCATCGAGATACTGTCTTATGGACTGCCATTATCACAGTGTTTGCAGAACGAGATCCTGAGCAGGCTTTTTTTCTCTTCTGCCAAATGCATCGGAATGACTTTGTAGTGGATTGGCATGCATTCTCAATTGTCTTAAAGGCTTGTGCAGCCTTTGTCACAGAGCAACATGCTGCAGCAGTTCACTCACAAGTAATTAAGAAAGGGTTTCAAGGAGACACTGTAATTTCAAATGCCTTGATCCATGCTTATGCAAGGTGTGGCTCCTTAGCATTCTCTGAACAAGTATTTGATGAGATGGATTGCCGCGATTTGGTTTCCTGGAATTCAATGCTCAAATCTTATTCCTTACATGGGAAAGCTAGAGAAGCGCTGCAGCTCTTTCAGCAAATGAGTGTCAGTCCAGATTCTGCAACTTTTGTTGCTCTCCTCTCAGCTTGCAGCCATGCTGGTCTTGTTGAAGAAGGAGTGAAAATTTTTAATTCCATGCCTAAAAATTATGGATATGGTCCCCAAATTGATCACTATGCCTGCATGGTTGACCTTTTTGGACGGGCTGGTCGGATGGTTGAGGCTAATGATTTGATACACAAAATGCCAATCAAACCTGATTCTGTAATCTGGAGTGCATTACTTGGATCTTGCAGAAAGCATGGTGACGCCCACATGGCCAAATTAGCAGTTGATAAACTTACAGAGTTAGATCCTAAAAATTCATTGGGGTATGTGCAAATGTCAAACATATATTCTTCCACTGGTAGTTATAATGAAGCTATCTTGATCAGGAAGCAAATGAGAGGCTCTAGGGTGAGAAAAGAACCTGGATTAAGCTGGATTGAAATTGGGAAGAAGGTCCATGAGTTTGCCTCAGGAGGCCAACGCCATCCACAGAGGGAATTCATACTCAACCAACTTGAGATATTGATTAGACAGTTAAAGGAGAAGGGTTATGTACCAGAGACAAGTTTTGCCTTGTATGACACAGAAGAGGAGAACAAAGAGGAGCAATTGTTCCATCATAGTGAGAAGATGGCATTGGTGTTTGCCATAATGAATGAAGGCAGTTTACCTTATGGTGGTAATGTTATAAAAATTATCAAGAACATCCGTATTTGCGTGGATTGCCATGACTTCATGAAATTAGTGTCAGATACATTTCAAAAGGAGATTATTGTGAGAGACTCAAACCGCTTCCACCATTTTAAAGATGCTCGATGCTCTTGTAATGATTATTGGTGACATATTAACATGTAATGCCCCGTATTCAGTACACTACCACCATGTTTGGATGAGGGGAAAACTAAGGGGAGGAGAGAAGTAGAGGGGAAAATGGGGAAGGAGAGAAATATTCTCCTGTTTGGATTGCAAGAGAAAACAGGAGGGAAGGAAAAGTAGGGGAGAAAAAAGGGTGCGGGCCCCATGTATTTTTACCTCTAAATTTTCTTTTCAAAATTGGAGAGATTTTGGGGAGAAAACCATCCTTCCAGAACTATCCTCACCCTATTTTATCACCCTGCGTGTTTTATGGCATTCATTGCTCCTATCATTCCTTCTTCTCCTTCATGCTCATGCTCATCAACATCACTATTGCTTGATTTGCAGAAGCCACTGACTTCGACAGAAACGGCTCACTGTCCTTGTCAATGGTACCTGCTACTGTGAGTTCATCTTATCACTTTCCCTCCTTTTGTCCTATGCTTTAATCAATCTATACTCAAAAATTGCTTTTGTTTGTGATTCTAGATATCCAAATTGTGTATGTTGATTTATTGTCAGATTCAAGTTACATATGGTAAAGCCAAAATATATATACATATATATATAGAGAGAGAGAGAGAGGGTAGGGGTAGATAACGTTACTTATTTCATCAAGAAGGTAACTAGAGACGGGAAAAAGATGTATTGGTATCGTGATCTTGTAATGACTCAGTTTATGAATGGTTTTAGAAATGGTTTAGTTGTTAGTAGATAACTCTCACATTTAATTGTTTGAAAGAATTAGTTCTGGTAGCTTTGAAAAAAGCTTGCCGTGCTTAGAAGAAAGCAGATGGTTGGAAGAAAATTTAGCATTTACCATGGTTGATGGAAAGTGTAGTTGAAATATAATTTCTTAGTTGCATGTGGTGATGGTCCTGTAGATGTAAACACAAATTTCTCTAATCACGTTAATCATACTCAAAGGCTTGATGGGTTATGCTGAGAAATATCAAAGTACCTTGTTGTTGATCAGATCAAATTTCCGTTCAGGGCTTTTATTAATTTATGTTTGATAGAAGCATCTATTTTTGCTCTTCTGGAGGTTAAATTATAGGCATGGATTATGGCACATGTCACTTCCATTCAAATTTCTTTTCTGCTTTTCGTCTTCTCACCAGAGGCTTCCTATTTGTTTTAGAAAAACCTGGTGAAAATGCTGACTGCGTTGGTTGATTGGAAAGTGTAGTTGTTAGAAGATATCAGAATTATGTCTGAAATGTTTACCTAGAATCTTAGATGTATGCTATAGTCGCAGCTTTATTCTACTTGAAGTTATATACCAGCAACACCAGTGCCCATATATCCAATAAGTTAAACTTTTCACATGTGAGGGGACTATTGATAAGTAAAATAAGTACTTGTATGGTTTTTGATATTAAGAAGCACAGAAACTAATCTTTTGCCTCGTCTTTTATTATGAACTATAGATAACTCTATGTGGCACCTCATATTTGTATTCATGGCTGCTGATTTGAATTTATTAAATGTGTATTTCAATGTTTTGAGAAACAAGTGGCTTCTGGTGTTGTTTCGTTTGGCAGAGAAAAATAATTGTCCCAGTAGCATTTGTGATTTTTGTTACTTCTTCAGATTTAGGTGTATTCTGATTTAGATTAGGAATCTTGTGGCAATTTGCTTATGATTTCTTATTCTGCAGAAAAACCAAGTGCAAAAAAGTGGAGGAGTACACACGTACAACGTTACGACAAATTACAAGAACTAGTTAGCACAGATAGAGCAATAGGAGAATATGGGGAGACTTGCTAAGAATATGATTAAACGATGACCTAAATGAGTCTTTTGAACGTGCAATAAATGAAGGCAATGATACCTCAAACTCAGCTGCTAATGTGGAGTGCGATGAAACATGGGGGACCTCGAACAGGAATTATGGAATTAGTTGGGGTCATGAGAGATGATAATTCTTTCCACAAGCAATCTATTGCTTATTGCTGAAAAGGGTCTCATAATACTTGAAAAGAGTAGGCCTTGCCATTATGGCAAAGAGCTTGAGAAAATTGGAGTAAGTGAAGATGAGAAGATGAAATGCTACTTATGTAATGAAGGGAAAGTCAAATGAACATTTTTTAGAGTTCCACGTCATATGTGACTATGAGCACTAGTTAAATCGATGACTGATGCTGCAATCTGTTGCAAAAAGTAGCGATTTTGAAGTTAACAGAATTTGTGTTGTTCAAACTCATTAAAGCATTTGTTTTTACTATGTGAACTGTGAAACATTTGTTTTCTTTTTCTTTTTAGCATTTGTTTTTAGTCGCTTGCTCAATCTCCGTGTCGCCGACCCATATTCAATTTTATTTATTTATTTATTTGTTTATTAATTTACTGTTAATGATTTTTGTAATCTTGATTTAATTAAATTGAGTAATCAATCACGATTGAACCTGATGTCCTAATCTGAAAGATTTCCTCATTCCTGGTCAAAAATAAATATAAAAGATGGCGCCTATTATTATTATTATTATTATTTTTGGGGTGAATTGCATCTATTAAAATTTACTCCTGCTTTTATTATTTTGATTGTTTAATGCAAAATAAGTGCCCGAAAAAGAAGTCCGTGCATCGTATTTTTGTTCATCAAAGAGAAATTGGTAGGGTTTACATAGGGCATTTGGGGGCTTATCATAAATGATAAGCAAGATTTGTTTATAAATTGATTTAAATGGTCTAGATTTATAATTTTAAATTTGTAATTTTTAAATAATAACTTTAATTTTTTATAAAAAATTTCACAGTTAAAAAAAAATTTTATTTACACCCTGTAACTATTAAAATAATATGATATTAAAAATATAATAATAATAATAATAATAATCATAATAATAATCATAATAAATCAAATATGCTTAATTTAAATTTAATTTGAATGATCTAAATTTGAAATCAGCACCTCATACTCATCACCATCATCATCTTGATAAGCATGGAATGTGGTCCTAACATTAATATAAAATATTATGAGATCTAATTTTCTTTAAAGTTGGATTTTAATTATATCCATATTTTTAAATTATATAAAATAAATCAAAATATTTTTATCTTGTTTTTGCATCATTATATAATTAGATTACATGAGGTCTTGATTATTAAAATATTAAATGAATATAAAATATAATCATTTTATATTAATTCGAATTTGAGTATAATAAAATTCAATTATCTTCTGAGCTCCTCTATATTTCTAGTATATGACCTAACCAAAAAATGTTTTCCACCATAGTATTTCATCATTAAATAATTATATAATAAAAATTTACTTATTCCAAAAACAAATTACTATAAACTTTAATGGGAGAATGATAGTTAGGTCCCACAAAAATAAATTAATGACAGTTAAGTTTTTAATGAAATTTTCTATAGAATGAATTATAAATATCAATTCAAATAGTTACAAATATAAATTTTTGCTATAATCTAAAAATTACATTCGATATTTAAATACTTATTTGTAATTAAAACTTTTGAGTCTGTAATAATTTGGATCGGTATTTTCAACTTCTTTTTTTTAAAAAAAAAAACTTATTGAGGATTTAACTATCATTAATTCATTCCTCTAGGATCATTCCTCTAGGACCTAACTGTCATTTTTCCAACTTTAATTATCCTTGTTTTGTACGAGTATTTATTAATTTGAATTTAAATTATTTTAATATTGATAATTTGAATTTTAAATTTTTAAATTGACATTTTTTTTTTTTTGAGGTCAGATGATTGTGATTAACCAAGATTTTTCAATGGCGTATTGTAAATTATGTCCTTCACCTTTTTAATTTCTTGCCACATATCCTTAGCTGAGATCCATCATAAGTACCATTTATAACAAAGACATGGCATTATGAGACATGGACATGTTCAGTTTCTTCTGCTGCAATTGCAAATGTGAATGGAGGCTTCCCATTTGCAGTCCTATAATTTAGACCATATAAGATTAAAACATGAAAAATTCCATATTTGTTTTTCTTTTCTTCCTTCAATTAAAAACGCAGTAACAATTTAAACTTACATGTGATGAAGAAGCGAACCATGCACTCCATCATTCATCCTAGCAGAACAGAATATCTTGCATGTTAGAATAATCAATAATTAAGCAATGGAAAAAATAAGGAATTAAATGGAAGCACATTCATTTAAAAAAAAGTAGACCTAGGCAATAGCTTTTGTCATATGAAATTATGGATTGTGAGTAAATATGCATCTTTTTTGGTGTGGTTTCTTATTTGTAGTCATTGTTCTGCTTGGTAGTCTAGGTATATAACGATAACATACAACTTTTCCTATAAATAAATGTATTAATATATCGGCTTTAAATTCATTTAGACGGGAAGTTATGGATTAGTCTTCTTTAAACTCTATGGACATATTTATATATCATGCTTGATAATTTCTTTTCAATTACAAGATTCATGCCATTATTGCCATCATTGCTAACTGGGCACATGCTTGCAATGATACAAGATTGGTGATTACACAACTGGGTTAACATGCTATTCAAGCTCAAATTTTAAATGGTTCAAATAAGGCTGGAATGATTTTATTTCACACGATGGACATTAATCCATCAGATTCTATTTTCATTTAAGTTACAGTGAAGGCAACTCCCTTTAGCACATTCATTTGCTATGACCATTAATGAAAGTCAAGGTCAATCATTAGAAATTGTAAGTATTTACTTGCCTAGTCTAGTCTTCATTCATGGACAATCTAACTGTTCAATTAATTTGAACTGTTCAAATTATTCAAACTAATTTTTTATTTTTATCAGATATAAATATAAAACATTCAGAATTATACCATGGTTCTATTTTTGCCATTTAAGGAACATCAATTTGTTACTCGATGGAACTTTAGAATTATAAAGTATTGTAGAGTTGGATATGTCACTAAATTTCATTAAAATGGTCTCATACACTAACTAATACACAATGGTACAACAACAACAACAATAACAACAAGCCTTTATCCCACTAGGTGGGGTCGGCTACATGGATTACAAGAAACCGTTGTGCTCTATCATTTATCAAGCTTTTAGAAATATTATTAATTAAGAGATCGCGTTCAACAACTTCCAAGAGTGTTCTCTTAGGCCTTCCTCTACCTCTCTTAATTGGACTCAAAATTATATGATCCACTCTTCTCACTGGTACCTCCCTTGGTTTTCTTTGTACATGCCCAAACCATCTCAACTGATTTTCTACCATTTTTTTCCTCAATAGGTGTTACCCTCACTTTTTCGCGTACGTGCTTATTTCAAATTTTATCTTTACGTGTATGTCCGCACATCTATCGTAACATTCTCATCTCTGCTACTCCAACTTTATGTTCTTACTGTCCCGTTAGAGCCTAACATTCACTACTATATAACCTTGCCGATCTGATAGCAATGCGATAAAACTTTCCTTTAAATTTATTAGGCACCTTACGGTTGCAAATAACTCCTTTAACTTTTCTCCAATTAAACCACCCAACTTGAATCCTATGTGAAATATCTCCACTGATTTCGTCATCATTTTGAATAATGGCTTCAAATATCTAAACTTTTCCACTTGAGGTATAATTTGATCTCCCAATTTCACTTCCAAATTATTGTCGAATAGTCTCTTACCAAATTTACAATATAAATATTCCGTCTTACTCCTACTCAGACGGAAACCTTTCGACTCTAATGTCCTCCTCCATAACTCAAATTTACAATTAACCTCTTCTCTTTTCTCTGTCATAAGAACTATATCATTTGCGAAGAGCATACATTTGGAAATTTTCCCTTGAATATGTTCCGTCAAAATATTTAAGATCAAGTTGAACAGATAAGGACTCAGAGATGATCCCTGATGTAGTTCAATCTTTATAGGAAAATTCTTTGTTTGACTACTAGGCGTTCTTATACTAGTTTTTACCCCCTCATACATATCTTGTATGGCTTTAATATAAGCAATCCGTACTTTCTTTTTTTCCAACGCTTTCCAAAGCACTTTAATACACAATGGTACACAGGCTAATAATCAGTGATTTCATTTATCATATGATATTACTCCATTGTAAGATATAGAATGCACAATATTAAAATGTGAAAAAGGGACCAGTCCATGATAGAAAGTATTTTATATAATGGTATAAAGGTACACTGAAAAATGAGTTTAAATTAACGAAGGGCATATAGACAAAACATGTCAAGTTGGCTATGAAATGAAAAGCTGCACAAAGAGTTAGGTACATAACTACAAGAATTTTAATCTATTTTGTCTTGGCTACTTTTCCAGATGAAATACAAGCTAACACCTTCACCCTTACCTTCAAGATACTAACAAACAACTGATTGCAAGTCAGCTTCTTCCAATTGATGACACTCAAAGTTTGAATGACTAGATCTTGAATTGTTATGATTTCTACCTTCCTAGGAAATTTTCTCAGTACCATCATGGAAGGATCCTGCCAAAGAAGGAAAACGGCGTATTTAGAAATTTAGTAGCATTTAGAAACTCATCTAAGTAGAACCCTTACATAATAACAAGATAATTAAGAGACATCGAATAACCAATAGAATAAACCCTTCAATATCATCTTTGATCTAATATTTTTTAAAACTCAAGGGAAGATGAACATAGTTTACTCAAACAAACGAAGGAAAAGAATCTACTCAGTAAAAGTCAGAGTAACGTAAATTTTCACAAAAGCATCATTAAATTTAGTTTCCCAACTCATGGCAAATTCTAAAATCTTTTCCATCCAAAAACAAGAAAACCAAAGGGCACTGATACATAATGCTTATAACTCAATCAAATTTCACATAACTTGATCACTATAGTCTACAAGTTTACTTGACCCATAAATTTGCTTAATGCTAGTACTAGAATAGATAGCAAGAATTGGACTTGGATGTCACAGCATTCAGACTGCATCAGTAGTTAGCTTAGATGCAAAAGCTTGTTCCAGAGCTTCCAAGAAATTCATTAGCTATAGAGAACAGAACAGCAACTTCAGCACCATTATACAATGCAAATCAAAGGTGTTAGCTTGTGTATATAATAGACCTGTTATCATTTTGACATTTACTCCAAGGTCTATAGCCCTCCATATCGTTTCTACACTGTCATGCCTTGGTGGGTCAAAGAGAGGCATAAGACCAATAAACAGCAATTGGCCTCCAGCACTCTTCTTCCTTCCTTCTGGAACTTCCTGCACAAAAAGTAAAAATCACATGGCAGTCACTTGTTGATTCTAACATTAAAGTAATACATAGGGATACAAATTCAATATCTGACTTATTGT